AATGCTATAGTATGACCAGAAATTATTGAGCATTTTAGGAATATGTTTTAATTGGATTTCTAGTATAAACAACCTTGACCAGCTATCAAGTGCTTGGTTTCATTCAAGAGAGACAACTCCGTTAATCCTTTTTCATTAGTTTGTGAAGACTTATCCCCCTTTGTTTACTTGCTAGCAGACGACATTTTCAGTGATCCTCAGTATGGATGATTTAGAGAAGAGGAAGTTGATTTTAGAGTATTATAACAAGGACATCAGATCAGCTAAAGTGATTTCAAGTAGAACAGGCATCCCTTTGTCCACTGTTTATCGTGTTTTGAAAAATATTGCAAGTGGACATGGCATTGAGCACCAGGGAGGCGCAGGTAGGCCCAGAATATTGACTGTCGGTGACAGGAGGCGGCTTGGTATTCTTGTTTCTAAAAACAAACGAAGGAGTTTAGAAAACTTAAGGCTGGGTTTGATTGATAGAGGAACTGTGGCTGTCTGTAAGGAGACAATTAGAACTGAGCTGCATGCAAAGGGTTGGCAGAAAAGTCGAGGAATTCCATCACCGATCATGAAACCTGAACAAAAGGAGTGAAGGTTGAACTGGTGCTTACAGCATAGAAATTTTAACTGGGACAATGTGATTTTCTCAGATGAAAGTTCTGTGTGGCTCTTTCCTAATACACTGAAATTCTGGACCAAACAAACTGAAAAATCTTTGTATCAGCGCCCAAAGTACAGTCCGAAATTTAACGTGTGGGATGGCATATCTGTGTTAGGGGCAACGCCCCTCTGTGTATTTGAAGGGAATATGAACAGTGAGCGGTACACAGATATTCTCGAGGGACATTTACTTCCATCTGCTCACGTGTTCTATGGAACTTTTTTTGATTTTCCAGCAGGACAACGACCCAAAACATCGTTCAAAGCATTCACAGGCCTGGTTTCGGACCCAAAATATGACATTATTAGATTGGCCAAACTATAGCCCTGACCTAAATGCAATAGAAAATGTTTGGGAACTTATGAAGGAAAGTGTCAATAAGAAAAATCTGACAAATATTGCTGAAATGAAAAAGAGAGGTGGTCCGATATTGGGACAGCATGGACCACGACTTTCTAAATTCTTTGATCAGTAGTATGCCCCGCCGCATTGAAGCCTGCATTGCTGCCCATGATGACTTGACAAAATACAAACTGTCTTTGAATCTGGAGTTATGTTCTGCTAATATTCACATTTAATACGTGAGTAATGAGTGAAAAAAATATAAAAATTTACAATCTTTAAATTCTCAATAATATCTGGTTGTACTGTAAGGACATGGGTGTATAGTAATTCGGTCCTGTAAAGAGGCAAGTCGAAGGAAGCAGTCTGTCAGAGGGACAATGTGTGCAATATATATACATGTATAGATTAGAAATTATCATTTAAACTATTAACTATTTCCTTAGAGGCTTGTGCAAGTCTAATCACCATTGAACACCTTACGTGCGTGGTAATGACAGTTAGAATATGACGTAAAATGTTATTTTTAATATATTACGAACAGGGAAACTGAGTGTCAAACTGTCAGGTTGATAATACAAATAACTGGGCGAAGACGGACTTGCAACTGATGCAACCATGGTTGATTGGGTACATGACTACGTACATAGTGTTTCATCAACGCTGACATCCTTTATGTTAGGCCAACCAGTGGTTAACAGCATGAACATCGACCATTGGCACTGGGGCACGATGACACAGACTTGACAGTCAATACGCCAACCGATCTTCATTTTACCTGTCTCTTATCAAGGTAGCCTGCTCCTTCTGACCATGCTATAACCATAGGGATGATGGGGAAAGCAGGCCGTAAGGGCGTGGGGTATCTCAGGATGGTAGGGAAGGTATATATAATTGAATACATATATACTGAGTCAAAAAAGAAACTTCACATTCTTTCTTCAGGGCACTATAAAGAACAAGAGATGTTAAGATGGTTAAATTGTTATTATTTTATTGCTGAGATCTGTGTGATGTACTCGATACACTGACAGTGCCATAATCAGTTCCATTAGGCTACACCGCCGTTCCAAAACATGGGTATACAGAATGTCAAGTCACAAGAATAAAAATGCGAAATTTCTCAGTTCAATATCGTGTATGGTCGCCCCGCGCATTCACCACTGCCAAACACCGTCTCCTCATCGACTGCCTGATGCTTGTGAACACGTGGTTGGGGATTCTGCGCCATTGCTCTTGCAAGGCAGTGCCAAGTTCCTGCAAATTCTGAGGTTGGTTCCTAAGACCACGAAGCCTTCTCCCAAGTGCATCCCAAACATGCTCTATTGGATTAAGGTCAGGGGAACTCGATGGCCAGTCCATGACGTTGATTCCAGCGTTTGGAGGGAAATTTTGTGTCAACATCGCGGTATGCGGCCAAGCATTATCATGCTGGAACTGTAGACCTGGGCCATGAGCCGCCATGAAAGGAACGAGTTCAGGGGTGTGAGCACCTGGTCGCGGTAAGCAGCAGCTGTGAGGTTTCCACGGATGACCAGAAGTCGGGAACGGTTGTTCCCACAGAAAGCACCCACACCATGCAACTTCCGCCCCCGAATCTGTCGACTTCCTGTACACAACATTGGGCATACCGTTCACGACGTCGTCTCTTGACTCTATGCCTGCCGTCCGCGAATCTGAGGGTAAACCTGGATTCATCGCTAAAGACGACTCGATTCCAGTCTCTCTGGGTCCATCGGAAGTGACGTTGGGCCCACAGCAGACGTTGACGTTGATGAAACGGCGTCAATATTGGCCCACGATATGGACGTCGAGAATAGAGATTGGCAGCCCGCAACCGATTTCGAATGGTCTGTGAGGACATTCGACCTCTAAACATCTCAGCCCTGGTTCGTGTAGCCGGCAGAAATCTGTCACGTAGGTGACGTAGGACGATTTGAAGGTCTTCTGCTCGTGACGTCACACGTGGACGACCCGACCTTGGGCGATCAGAAGTGGTGCCAGTTTGCTGTGGACGACCTCGCAAGTCATACACAGTACGACGGCTGCATCCCATTGCTCTTGCGACGTCAATAACTGATCTTCCCGCTTGCAACATGCCAATGGCACGTTCACGTTGCACATTTGACAATCGTGGCATTTCAAGTACCGTTAGCACTGTGGTTTAAAAGTGTTTTTTCAATTCTTGAGGCCAATGCAAACACTCGCATATGAAGAAAACTTCGATGCGAAGATCACGTGATCGACTGCACGTGCAAAACCTGATTTGGCACTAACGTCATTTGAATCTAGACTTGCTTCAGTTAGGGCTTTAGTAGGCAGTAGGGAAAATAATGTGGTTCAGGGACTGTGGTTCAGACAGACTAGGGAAGGTAATGCAGTTCCCCATGCTTGTATCGAGACCCTTCAAAATGTCTAATGGGTGCATGATTAATCTCGTGTCTCCTGGTGTTGGTTGATCTTTCCTCATGTTTTTAACCATCGTTCTTTGTTAATAGGCATTTCATTTCTAATTACTGTAGTTTGTTTGTTTATTGTATTACTCCACATTGAGCACAATTCAAGCCATATGAAGAATCCGTAAATGATCGAATCTGGACCAGAGACTCTAGTGATAGAACCCGGATCTTTGGCGTGACGAGCGAACGCTTTAACCACTAGGCTATCCCACGGCCCCGCGACGTTAGTGAAGGCTGTGGGTCGTAACACCCAGGATAATGTAACATATGTTATATTTGGGATAGAATATTTAGTCAAATACACATTCTGGTATTTTCAGGGGTTGAGTCCCCCGGAATTCGAACCCACACACGTAATCGCCATCACACCCTGACACTGTGGGTTCGAATCCCGGAGAGAACTCAACTCCCACATAAGTACTAGAATCTGTACTTTACTGAGAAAGTGGAATCTCAAATATAACATATGTTAAATTACCATAAGTGTTATGGACCCGCGGTCTTGACCACGTTTTAATTTGTATTTATAATTTGGATGATGTCAGTGTCAGTGTCAGTGCTTGCCCTTTACCCTAAAAAGCTGCAGGCCCTGAGGACCCAGAACCAAAACAAGCTGTTGGTCCTGATCAGAATGTGTAGGCCCTAAAGTTTAATATGGAAATAATACTCTTAGTTATTGGGGATGAAAAAGCTGTCGGCCATAAGGACCTGCAGAAAACAAAAGCTGTGGGTCCGAGTGGTTTTCAGTCGGCTTCGGGCCGAAGGACTGATGTTAATTTCGAACGCTGCCCCGTGGAAGATTGTGTTCCTTCTTCAGACTGGTGCTGATGATTGTTTTACGTTTCTGATTGTTCAAACTATTGTATAACTGACTCACGTCCGTTGTGGTTCAAGTTGCTCTTCCTGTGTCTGTCAGGAAGGATACAGGAAGGATTCTGTTCCATTCAAAACATTTCGTGCAGTATGATAACTTCTACTTCCCAAAAGTTTTTCTTTCTCTAATTTCAAAACGTTTGTGTGTATATCAACGGAAGCATGAACGAGAATTTGAGGAGTCATGTTAGGATGGCATGGTAATTATTTTCGCGTAAGAGGGAGGCGGGAGTGGGGGGAGGGTAATTAGTCTAATATGTCTATATTCCAGACTACAACGCGAGATGTAGAATAAGTTGTATATATGAGTACATTGTGTGTATATATTATGTTCCGGTGTGGGTCGAGCGATACTTTGATCATTGCTCCATGGGACGCCTTAGCATTACCTGGCTCAACCGGTCGCACACATGGAAATACTTAATGTTAATCCCATTTCAGAACTCTTGGTAGTCATGGAAACCGTTTCTTAAACATTGATTGACAGTTGAAGCGTCCCTTCTGAACCGCGGCAACCCCCCAGAACTTCACCCATCTGGCAGACTGAGTCCCCCCTCCCCATCCTGCGCCCCTCCCCTTCATAAATCTGACCCTACCAACTGGTAGCGCGTTCCGTTCCGCGGGTCTCTCCGCGGGGTATCGGGTTCCCACAGCTCCAGAGAGTGCAGAGTTGTGAGGACTGGCATTGTCACCGAGTCATTGGAATACCTTGAAGCCATTCTTACATCGAGTGTACAGTGTCAATGAAAGCACAGGCGGATACTCACAGGTTACATAAGGAAATACTCCCACCCCAGGCTTCCGTGTTCATGACAATGTGTTTTAGTGTTGGAGTATACATGTAGGGATATCGGGCTGCTGTGTTTCCACGATGGGACAGGAGTTTTCCGCGGAGGATTTGCGAAACTTTCAAGGGATTGATTTCAGTCAGCTGAAGAACGGCATTGACAAATGTAAGTAGTTGTGGGAAGGTAGTCCTTTAACCCGCCTCACGCGCACTTACAACTGACGTTACCCCGAGGCTCCATTGAATGAAAGTTTTAGTTTCAGACCATTCCGTTTTCACATTACTTTTGTGTATAATTACCAGGTCGTGCATACGTTGAAAGATATCAGTTAGTAACTCAACATAAAGTTTTTCTTCACTTCATATATATTTCCTCATTGTCAGTTTGACATCTTGTTTGATGGCCGAACAACATCACTTTTCTTTTAAAATCTTTGACCAGTAATTATATTTTCTATGTAAACAACCCTGAGGTTTGCAAACAGATGAGAAGTGTTCTCAATCACCGGGTCCTTGGTGCACGTCACCGCTGTACTCTCCTACCCAGTGTCTGCCTGTTGGAAGTTAAAGGGCACTATCTGTACAGGTGTTACAGAAAATATACATTTTAAATATGGTTATATTGGAAGAAAAGCGAGATATAATGGACAATTCTGAAACTGGACTTAGACTTTTCAAAACTGTTGACCTACATTTGAACAAGTTCTTTTCGAAGTTTCTGTTTGACTACACAAATCTCAAGTCGTTTTTTAGATATAAAGATAATGATGTGCACAGCTACTTCATTTATTTACCAATGAAAGAAGGTCGAGGATGTGTACAACTATTTAAATCTTTGAAGGGCATGTACAAGTGGAATGCATAAGGAAAGCAAGATTTATGGATGTCAACTTCTTTATTGTCAATAACACGACGTTCGAAGTGTATGCTTGCTCCTTCATCATATTGTGTGCTATTCACAATGAAGAAAAGTTGGCATCAATAAATCTTGCTTTCTTATACAACTATTTATCATTTACCAATGAAAGCAGGTCGGGGATGTGTACAACTATTTATCATTTCGCAATGAAGGCTTATCGAAGTTGGTAGTATTTGCGAACATACGGATGTAAGTGCACTCCGACTCCCTGGCTGTCGAATTCTATATACACCTGTCTTCCCGCATTTTCTAATGAAATCCAGTGAAATATGCATGAAAACAGATGCGTGGGTTCTACACGTGTTTTAAAGCATGGATGACATCTTAACAGCCATATGGTCTTTAATGTTCCATCTCGACAAGGCTACAACCTCACCGCTCTGTTTAATGTGGGAATAATGTAGTCCAGACGGTTGACCACAGACGCCGGGCTGACCATGGTCACCTGGCGTTCACTTCACTTCACTTTGAACATGTCCAGACCTTCGTTACCGGCAGGGGTCAGTTTCACCCTTGACCTCTGGCGGGAGATGCCAGACCCTGGCGTGAGAAGTAAGATATGTGTTTATAAACCTACACCCGATGGTGCACAGGTGAAGCTTTCGTCAAAACAAGGAATGTACTTTCATGGCAGACGTCAAAATACTTGTTTTCATATCCTCCGGTGGTAGTGATTCTTGGTGGATAATATTTGAAGATACACTTATTTATATTTGTCAGTCTCAGCTTTTAGTAAAATACACGGTCTGGTATAGACTAACGCTTAGTCTCTGAATATATGTAATTTTGATAGTAACAAATAATCACATTTAAATTGAAAAGGAGCCCCAGTGAGTTGGAGATTCAGAACCTGAAGAAATGTGGACTTGCTTTATTTGGGGCTTTAGCATTGCAGGGAGTGCCAGGCAGTAGGGAAAATAATGTGGTTCAGGGACTGTGAGACAGACTAGGTCTGGTATTCTAAACATCCTAGCGTAAGCTTTTCATATTTATGAAGCATTTTGTAAACAAAAAACAACAACAAAAAATAAAATTCTGCTAAAATGAATTTAGGACAACAAGATATCTTGGGGCTGCTCATCTGTTCCAGCTGTTAGTCTGCCACACAGATCTGAAACAAACATATCTGTAAACTCGCCAAGTCTACATAACTGCTGTTTCAGAACATGAAGAAAGTATCTTGACTCTTATTAATTATGTTTTATTAAGATGATTTAAGATTTCTTTTTATTTGTAAATTATGTTCACTTCAGAGACTACATGTCAGTCTACTTCAGCTGTGTAGACACCAAAGCAAGCCTGTAGGTCTGTCCACAATGGAGACTACATGTCAGTCTACTGCAGCTGTGTAGACATGTAGGTCTGTCGACAATGGACTGTCTTTAATATCAGGAAACGAAAACTGTATCTCTCCTATATTTCGAAAAAACCCAACAATGTCGTGACTCCTAACTGCTCAAATATGATAAAACAAAGGAAAGTATTTGTTTCATACAAAACATCTAAATTCCAAAAACCAAAATTACCTACTCGTAACGTCTTCCCTAAAATAGATACTAGTATTCATCTGTTGCACGTGTTATCACGCTACTTACGGCCACCTGTGATTTTACTCACTACGACCTTCAACCTGAAAATTAATCAAAGTTTGTTAACATTTTGAATTTCACTTATTGTCAGAGCTGATAGAGTTGAGCTTTCAGGCTGAATTTATTTGATTCAGATTCGGTGTGGTAGCCCAGTGGTTAAAGAGTTTACTCCTTAAACCGACGACGAGGGTTCGATTCCCCGCATGGGTATAATGTAAGAAACCGACGTGTGGGGTCTCTCTTCCCAACCACGGTCTAAAACAACACAGCCATTAGACGAAAATGTCATTTCTCGATCCACAATTTGTAAATACCATATATTCCGTCATTACATGTATTTGAAACATACATACTGACACATTTAGCCACAAACAACATACCGTACCCACGTGGCCAGACCAAGGAACCGTTCATACTATATTTTAACCTATTTCTCCGCTGATAAATATAACGTCATTGGCTTGTGATGATAAGTATAACGTCATTGGCTTGTAATGATATCGTATAGAAACATGCCTGTTTTGCCTGTGTCTATCGCCCTTGTGCGTGTGTATACAGGCGTGTGAGACTCGCCTGCTGGAACGTTCATGTGTACACGGTGATAACCTGGCAATCTGTTCCGGTGATAGCATGAAGAGGTGTTCAGCCATCTGTGCTGTGCAATGGAGGATAACACATGTTTTTTCTTTTAACTTTTCCTTCAGAAGTTTCCATCTGTTCTGTTGAAAGGTAAATGTGAATGTTTGTGTCCCAGACCAAAACAAAAATAAATATCATGTTCATTATGATCATATATTAAACTTGGGTAATACGAACTTCGGCACATCGGATACCCCATATTGCATGCGAGCTATACATGTGATTGCATTATGTACTAGTCTATCACCTTGTTATGTCGTGTTCCTTGCGGCCGTATAACCGTTAATAATGTCGATTTTACACATGAGAAACCCTTCTCGGGTCAAAAAGGAATGTGCTTGGGTATGTATACAGTAAAGCTGAGATGAGATGCGCCTCATGTTACTTATATTTGTCGTGGTCAGAACAGAACTTGTATTACGTTCAGGCCCGGATACCTAACATGTACAAATATACCGTGGTATATTGTAAACATAGGATAGGCGGGATGGTTGGCATGGAAGATTGTACAGTTTTTATGATAGTGTACAGAATAATATAGGGTTTTTTTAAACACGTATTTATTTACAGTTAAACAATTGGGTTTTTAGCATAACGGTTTGGGATATGTTTTCCGATGACGTTTGAAGAAAGGACAGACAAAAATGTAATTAAAGTCATCGCCAACATCGCACATGTCGCAGAGGTTACATATTCTTTCCTTAGGGGGGTTGTGTGCCACCTACCTCATTCACGTCGAATTCACATGGTACGTGGACGTCGACAGACACTGCGTCAGAGCACGGCAAGGACCTGATGGTCAGTCGTCTCAACGTCTTGTCCAGCCTTGTAATGACTACTAGGGCTACATGTGTCATAATGTAACCACTTTAGTTTCACATACTTTCACAGCAGTACTAGTTTAACTTGACTCGTATCTGTTCACTAAAACATTGGACACAAAACACTTCCTGTTGAGGTTTAACTGTAGGTACATACATCGGATATATTCTATAGCAAATAAAAGACAAATGTGATAGTAGAAGACACCATTCTATGGCTTGTTTGTGTTCATGGCGATAGTGTAATGACCTCCATTAATGGTGTTTGCGTGACACAGACGTGTTTCCTGTAATTAGGAAAGAGACACAGATGTCGATACGCGTTCACCGTCTCTTTATAGCTGCTGGGTTCTCTTATTACTCAGTTGCAAGCTTCAGTTTAATTGGACGGATTCTACCCAAGCAGTCAATTATAGCATTACGTCATACACTGGTACACAAGTTAATATGTTACAAAATAAATAAATAAGGAAAAGGGACGTCATGGAAATGAAAGTGTGTATACTTTGATATGGAATATATGGGTGCTGAAGTTCACATTCTAATTAACATCTTATCTCAAACTTCTTTGAGTGACATTTTAGAAGATCACTTGCTTGATAACGATGTTATTACCTACACCGAAACGTCGCACTCATTGCAATAAAGAAGTTGACTATCCATAGAACTTGGTTTTCCTTCATCAATACAACTTCTAAAATGCCTCTCAAAGAAGTTAAAAGTTGGGAAGTGCAATATTGACAAACCTTGATAAAAACTTCTTTAATTTCGTGAGTGCGATGTTTCGATTAAGATTTTTGTACCGTTGTCAAGAAGAAATGCCAAAGAACTTACCTCAAAGGAATCACCTTATTTTACTTTCTACGAAACATATTAATTTCAGCTTACTTATCCTTGTGTCTTTGCCAGTTCATAGACACAGACATTGTTAAATATGTCAGAAGTGAGTTTATTTTCTCGCCGCACTCAGCAATATTGATGCTATATTATGGGATCATACGCATCAACACATCCCCATACCTCACCCAGGTTGAGACAGCATCTCCGACCTCCCTCCCTCAACAAATGAGTGAGTGAGTGAGTTTAGTTTTACGCCGCACTCAGCAATATTCCAGCTATATGGCGGCGGTCTGTAAATAATTGAGCCTGGACCAGACAATACAGTGATCAACAGCATGAGCATCGATCTGCGCAATTG